TTTATTTATTTATTTATTTATTTATTTATTTTTGGGGGGGGAGGCTGTTAAATACTATTTGTTCAGATGAAGTGTGAAGTTACGGCATGTTTATATTTATTGTAGGAGGGTGGATGCAGTGTTCCTGTAGCTGTCCACAGTGAGCTGGCAGATGACAACTTGATGCTGAAGGGGGGAGTGTTCTCACTTGATGGCACAGAAGCTGTAATAGACTCTATCAATGTAAAACTTCCAGAGGAAGGAGAGAGGTCTCCTAAGAGGGTAACCTAGGAATATTTTTACAAATTTGAATACATGAGATAATTTTTATGTTATATATTTTGAAAAGTGTTTGAAATATTTGTAGTCTTTTTGTTGTGACACCAAAAATTACTGGAGTTAAAACCAGGCATAATTCAACAAATCACCTTGTGTTGAAAATAAATAATTGCATTGCTTTAATTTTTAAAAAGTGACAAAAACATTGACTTATATCAATTTTTGTATGTTTTTAGTTTCAGAACATTAAGTGTGTTATAGATTTTAATAACTGCATTAGAGATGGGAAATTTGATTAATATATATGTTTTTCCTGCATAAGAGATGCCTCACGATTGGACTAATCTGAAAGTTTATGTTTTCTAATAATTTTTCTACTATTTTTTCTGCAGAGCCGCAGTGTCTTTGTTCCATCATGTGCAAGTGTCGTGTCCAATCAAGTTTCATTCCACGTGATGCAGGCTGCAGAGGCTGCTGGGATACGTGTTGCTGAACTGCTGCTAGCAGAAGGGGCGGGACCCATTTTGGAACACTCACGACAACACACAGAGGCTCATACAAAACGGCACCCATCTGGTGCGCCTGCTTGCCCATACTTTGAAACTGTGAAAAAGGAGCTGGAAACAGAGGGAGTGATTGATAAAAATGATGGCCACGTAATAGACCATGTGCCTCCTAGAAGACCCAGCGCGGGTGATGAAATTGAGGGGTTGCCGCACTGTCCATATTTTGAAGTTGTCGACAATAGTGAGGCTGATGCCACAGATGCAGGCAGCAATGGTAATGGTGTTGTCAAAGAGACCCCTGTTGTCATAGAGACACCTGTTGTCAAGGAGACACTTGTTGAGACTAAGAGTAATATACAGTTGAAGGAGGCTAAAACAAATGGCTCTGCTGCAAAGTGTCCATTTCATAATGTAACAGATACAAAGTAGTAAAATTGTGGGGTACAAGACCTACATCACTGCCATATATCTGCGCAAAATTCCATAAGTTTAAAAATATTTATAAGTTAATTTTTTCTTTATGTCTGCTAGTACTATTACTACTGTTTTGTTTTTTAATCAATTCCTGAAATCCACAAAGAGTTTGATATTGTCTCAAAGATTTGCCACCACCTAGTATTTTATATTAAGAGCTTGACATTATTATGTCCATTTTCTTTTGGCACTCATATTTCCATTTTAATTTAGATGCTCTTGCTTAATATCTAATGTGGGTTAGAGGGCTAGATATTTTTTTAAAAATTCTTATTTGAACAGAAAGCATATTTTATGCTTTTTAAGTCTGTGATTGTTCATGACATGACCTTTGTTAATATGTTTGTCTTCTTGTATTTTGCCAAAGTGATAGATTAAATAAAAATGACTGCCTAGTTAACTAGTAATGGTACCAATTATATTATTAAACTCAAATATATCACACATAGAGCAGAGGTACACTGAAGCTTTAGATTAAATTATCCATTATTTTCACAATTATAGTTTTATTTAAAATAAGTTTTAAGTGGAGAAGGCAGCTAACTTATAGTATCTTATAGATATGGTATTTATCATCCTTGTTTTCACAGATGTTTTATTTTAAGAAAGTATAACATTTCTTTAAATATTTTATATAAAAATTGTTGGCAATTGAAGATTGCAAACTATAAGCAAGTGGCCCTTGTGTTGAGACGATCTCTCTTACAGATGTTTCTTTTCCAATATTTTACAAGAAATGCTTTCATTTCTTCAGTCCAACCTCCTGAGCATGAAAACAGCTGTTTGTTTGTTTTTTGTTTTTTTTTAAATATTTTTAATTAAGCACTTTCAGCAAAGTTCTTGATTATCTTTTGTTCGTTGTATTGTGCAATACCCCAGTCATTGTTCATGTTAAATGTTTAATTAAATTCTTTGAGTATGTACATATATTATAATATTTGACAGATAAATCTTATAAAAATTGTACTATAACAGCTGTTAAGTGATGGTACAGGTTTTCATGTACAAATGTATATCTGAAGTAGCTAATAAATAGTTGGAGAGAGATCTAATTTTTGTTCTTAATTTTGTAAGCAAAAAAATTATGATGCAAAAAATCCTTAACATTAATTTCAAGTTACAAGGGACGAGATGGTGTATACATTCTGTACAAATTTTACTGAAGTTTGGCCAATGTACCCAGACAAAGGTTATCTTAATTTCAACTTTTGCATTGTCTCTTGGCAAAATTTAAGCATGGAGTTGGAACCATGTTCTTATACAAATTTTAACAATTTAGTTTGTCCTGTGACATCTTTGTGTCACAATTGCTTCTCTCTCACTTGTCTCGTATACAAATAGATATCAACTTGTCTCGGATACAAATAGATATCACAGAAATGCTTTTTAAATGTTTCTGTCAGCCAGTTTATTTAGTCAGAGTCAACTGTTACTGATTTATCGTATTTGTCCAACTCTCTCATGGTGGCTTCTATATCAAGTTCCATCTCTTTCTCCTCATCACTGTCAATTGGTACAGGCTCTGGCTTAGGCTTCTTGATGCCTTTATGATCTGATACTTTTTCTTTCTGTAAATAGAATAAAGATATTCATCAATAACGTACATACAGAGTTTTCCTGAGCTTTAGTATTTAAAAAAAATTATGCCATGTTAGATCTGACATGAACTGTCCATTAATGATTGAAATTGATTAAATGCTGTTTGCAAAATTTATGTAAAAAATTGCCACTTAAAATCCAATATTTTCATTGTATACATTTAGTCTGTGAAACAGAGGGTTTTAAAAAGCGACATCCTTACCATAATTCTATCCTCTCTTTGCTTCTGAAGCAGCATGATGGCATCCTCCCTGAATGCAGCTTTCTGTTGCAATTTATGATATGCATCTGCCCTTTCAAGAGCATGGGATGTCAAAAGGAAGGACGTCAATTCTGAAGGAAACATCAATAAAACGAACAAATTAAATAACACTCACCCCCAAAAAAAAAAAAAAAAAAAAAAAAAAAAAAAAAAAAAAAAAAAAAAAAAAAAAGCAGTACATATACTGCATTAATACATTGGGGGGCCAACAGTTGCGGTGTGAAACAGACTGTGTTTGACACATTTTCACTTTTCACATCATAGCTAATTCTGACACAGAATCCAATACTAGTAAAATTTACATGTACTGGTACGTAGTACATGCATGTGTTTGCATTGCATATCTATCTAAAGTTTAACGCCCAGCTCCATCAAGGGTTATACCCTTTCAAATTTACTTTAAGAAGTATGTTCTATACTTACGCGGCGGCTCGGCTTCTGGATGGTGAGCGAGGTTAATGGCTGAAAATATACATGTATCAAAAGAACAAATGAAATGATTAAAGTTGTCTCAAAAGAGAACCTCGTAAGACTTTCAGCTCTCATTTACAAAAATATTCATACATTTTATTTATCTTTCATTAAAATAATCTTCAATGCATGATAGAGAGAGAAAGAGAGAAGTGAGAAAGGGGAGGAGGGAGAGAGACAGGTGACATACGTTGTCCGCCGGGTGGTGCTCTCTTCAGTCTTTGGCGTATATCACTTGAAACTAGACGGGACTCAATCGGAGGATGGAGTTGAATAGATTGCCAAAAACTCTTTGCATATGCTTTGTCTTCTTCTGATGATCCACTGAATTCCGTTTTCTCGTTGCTTTTCGGAAGTTCAACTACCACAGTAGCCATTATGGGGTTTCTATAAACAATTTGTATGCGCTGAACTTATGCGCATATCGCTTAGAACAATATATTCTGGGGTCGCTTATAATTTAGTATTTAGCACTAAAATTCATGTGAGAGCAACGAAATGATATCGTTATAGTTCGTTAATTATCAGTTATGGCATAATTCTTTCAGCATAATAAAAATTCTAAAGATTGTCGAAAAGTTGCGCCATCTGACGTCATGATATGTCATGGCAACTTGAAATGTTGTCCAAAATGTGGTAGCGAACAGAATGCAAGTCTCTACTGGATTGGATAAAATTGGGACCGACGGGCACTCTGATTGGACATGACGTCAAGCTTGCATTATATTCTACGCAGTACAACTATGAGAAGGAAAGACGGAGACATTTCACAACAAAATATACGGAGGGGAAAGAACGTTTTTGGGAAAGAGGTTTGGACAAATAGGTTAGTTGTACAACAAATGGATGTTTCAAGCATCTTATCGTGTATTTTCAGACCAAAAATGTGTGTTATTAGAAGAAATTTGCAGGGGTTTTCCATGACCTATTTTTTATAAACAAAGGAAATTCCAATTTCCAGAGTGTCGTATCTGAGTCACTAAGTAGTAGTCTTGCGTAGGATGATCATGTGTAGGAGAATATTGGTCAGTTTTGTAAAGGTGTGCTTTGTAACAATTACAACCACAAGGACTTGTTAACTATTGTTTAATTATGCTTTTGTTGCAGGTAACAATTTGAAGGCTTTGGAAAAAAGTAAGAACAACACGTAGAATACTCGGCGCCAAAAAAACAGCAAACTGATAGTAAACAATTAAGTAAGACAGACACGTACTATAAAATCTAAAATTTGCCCTCAAACTAGGGTATTGGTAACATTTTATTTAAACTGTAAAAGCTATGTTAAAATTAAGTGCATCATGAAGGACGAGATCGCAGCAGCAGTTGTATTCATCAGTCGCCTACTCGAGTCAAACAAGCAGTTGTCACCAGAAAAGGCTCAAGAATTTTCTGCAAAACTCTCAGACATTTTGGGAGAGAAATTCAAGAATCATTGGTACCAGGATAAACCTACAAAAGGCCAGGCATTCCGATGCATTAGAGTCAATGAGACAGAACCCAGGGACCCTGTGTTGGAGAAAGCAGCATCCGAGTCTGGACTGAAGTATGAAGAGTTGAACCTTCCTCTGGAGTTGACTTTGTGGGTAGACCCCCATGAAGTTGCCTGCAGGTTAGTGTTCGTATAAAATCCTCCAGAATTCCTGGTGCAAAAAAGTGTATGTAATTATCACATATTACAAAAATAATATTAAATGTGTAAGACAAAATAATAATAATAATAAGTAAATAAGATGATTTAGGATCACTCCCTCTATTCATTTTCCAATCACAATATTTGTTGTGATACATTTAATGTATTTGATGCGAACAAATGTCTTCTTGAATTACACCTATATGTTACAATGGCCTCAACACAAAATAGTCATGGGCATTGTAACAATTTCTGTGTTTACTAATATAATACAAAAATTGCATCACTCCCCCTTGAATGTTGCGGTTTCCTTGTTTTGATTTGGCATAGGACAGTATCTGATGTGTCCTTGATGTGTCATAGTTTGTTTTGAGATGAAGATGATATCAATTTTTCTACCACTGAAATCCATTGAATCCTCCCTTAGATAGTTTTCAAATTAATATCACAATCTTATCATATCTATATTTGATCACATTCCAGTTGGCTTTTTATAAAAAGCAAAAAAAAAAAAAAAAAAAAAGATGGCGATAGTGTCAGATTGTTTGAGTAAACTCCCATTGCTATGAAAGGAGATATTTAATCTTGATTTTGTTTGGTTCATATGGGGGTTTTTATCTGGATCATAATTACCTGCTTATCAGAATATCTTGAGTTGATCTTTGCTATGGAGATTGTGCTTCTTATTATTGGGCTTTTAACCTGCCTCCACCCCCTCTCCCAAAAAAAAAATAAAAATGTAAATCGTGTTCATCAATAATTTAGTACTAGTAATTTGTTAAAAAAGAAGTTGACTGAGATCAAAAACCCCAGCTGAAGTAATTAAGTTTGTTATGTTTATCTACGTTGCATCAGCCAGTGAAAAGGTCAAGTTTTATTTTGTATCTCCTGTTTAGAGTGGAGTAGAATAGAGTGCCTTCTCAATTACCTTTTCCCTTATCTTGTATCTGGTTGTTGATGTAATGACACTTGAGGAGATGGCAGGTATATTCTCCTCAAATCTGGGACAATGAATATGAAGATGACCAGCAATGATTGAACAAAGGGTTAAATGATTGCTCAGTTAACTTTGTGAATTTCTCTTCACACGAATATGCTGGAGATTTTTTTTGTTTTCACCAAAGTAAAAAAGTGTCCCATAAAGCTTTGATCTCTGCTTGGTGAAGCTGGAGTTTTATATATCATATGATGATATTAGTTGAAAACGTATGCAAGAGCAAGAGGTTAAGTGGTACTTAGGTGGGCAACAATTGTACTGTAGTACCTCGGTCAGAGGATTGAAGTAGATGAAAACAATGCAGTGCATAGATTTCACACGTGAGTTGCTTATAGTGGAAATGAATGGCTGTGAGTGACGCCGATCTATTTGTGTCATGATATAGCGCATGATTATTGCTAAAGCTGAGAATGTAAGTCAAACATTTCAGAAGCCATGACAATCTACCTGCAAATATATGCTATGATCATGCACAGCATTCACATCATTTATTTACTCTCTTCCACTTTACATACATACAAATTGATTTCAAACCTGCAGCTTTATCAAAAGTGGCCTGGTTGTTATGAAAATAAAAGAGATTAAAAGAAAAATTTGTTTTGTGAATAATTTAGGGAAGTTTTGTATATATTTTGTGCTGAATTTTATCTCTGTTTATTATTTATGTATTTATTTATTTATTTATTTATTTATTTATTTATTTATTTATTTATTTATTATTTTGGATCTGCTTGAAACCATTGACTTGATCATTGGCATTGAAGTTGAAAAAAAAAAGTTAAAGTGGATAGCCTGAATCTGTACAGTTACTACCAGGTACAGTTTGTTGGACATTATCATATGGTGTCCAGGGTAGCTTGGTCAGTTGGCAGTGCTTTGTGGCCTTGGCTGCTGTTGCTGTGAAGGGCAGTATGGTGCCTGATGAGGCATACTGATATGGAAGAGTAACTGAAAAAGAAACTGGCCATGGCCTATCATGAAGATTCAGATCTGCTGTTTCTTTTTTATTTAACCTATTCATATCTCTCTGTGAGATTACTCATGGAATTCCCTTACTGTGAAACAGAAAGTACATGGATAAAGAAAGGAAATTTTACTGAAGGTGCTTATTTCCCTCAAGTGGTTGGCCTGGTAGCTTGACTTGGGTCACATCTCTATCATCTTAATGGGCTAGGGACGTGAGGGATGAGCACAGCCTTAGGAAGGTTGACTAACTGCTCAGCAATGTCTCCACGCCACTGGGATGGTAATTGTGTGGTGATATAGGGAAATATTCCTTGTTTTATTCTAAATGCATTGCAGTTGGAGATAAACTTATGCTGTGGTGGTTTTTAGAAGGAAATGATAACAGTGCAAGTCTGCTTGTGCACTAGGAATTTACCACATTAGTAGAGCATTTTTTCTTTGTTCAGAAACAGTGTATCAATTACCATAGAATAATGAATTTTTAATGGCAATTTCATTTTCATTTGCCAAGATATGACTTTAACATCATAGGCCTTGGAAGTAAGTATTGAGGTCACATTTACATGATTTTATATAATGGAGTTGGGGGGGGGGGGTGTTGAGACTAGATATAGGATAGATCCCCCCTTTTGAACTGTTCACATGTAAATGCACATGCCACAGTGTTGTTATACATGTGCCATGTGTTTTTTGTACATTTTTTCATACTAGTAGGCATCTACCTATTGGTCAGTTGGTGCTTGCCTGGCAATCAGAGCTTGCATTTTTTCCCCTTAGACTTGAAAATTATGTATAATGGAAAAAACTCAGATGGCAACTTAAAATTTATTTACATTTGAAAGTAATTACTTGGAAAATGGAATTGTTTTTTAAAAGCCTGACTTTGAATGTTCAAATCAGTTACTCCACACTGCTTTTTAGCTATATTTACTGAATGTTTGTGACAAATTTCTTTAAAAAGTTATCAGACTTCATTTTACTTACATAACATTGATATTCTTCACCTAAGGAGTGTTAGTTTTGCCATCGCCACTACTGCAACAAAGGCTTTTCTTTTAGCTTGTAATTGCACTACTAGTAATTATAACTTCCAGGTAAAATTTTAAGAGGATTCTAATAGCATTAGGTGGTTGCCAAAGTCTACCACTGCGTCCAAGTCCCCAAACACCTGCCTGTCTTTGTGCTATTGTTCAAAAGAAAGGGATTGGTGCTAGATATGATATTAGCTGAAAGGCAAAAGCTGAAAAGAGTCTCCCCATTATTTATTGCCTTTTGACCCTATCTGGCTCTTCAAGTTACATTGAAATGTGGCTTTGGATTATCATAATGTAAACTTGCCATGGTAACTTCTAATTTTGTACTTTATAGCCATACTTCATTGGACATTTTATATTATCGCCCCCTCCCTTTGGTGTCCTTTTTTTATGTACAGACACAGATGTGTCTGTACATATAGCCATCATCTGCGTCTGTCGTCGTCGTCGCTGTCGTCGTCGCCGTGCACTTTTACCGATAACACGATAAGTAGAAAACCATTTTGCCTTTTGATTTGAAACTTGCAGAACTGATGAATATTCATAATACGCAGGTCAAGTTCGAAAATCAGCATGATCAGNGAACAAATGTCTTCTTGAATTACACCTATATGTTACAATGGCCTCAACACAAAATAGTCATGGGCATTATAACAATTTCTGTGTTTACAAATATAATACAAAAATTGCATCACTCCCCCTTGAATGTTGCGGTTTCCTTGTTTTGATTTGGCATAGGACAGTATCTGATGTGTCCTTGATGTGTCATAGTTTGTTTTGAGATGGAGATGATATCAATTTTTCTACCACTGGAATCCATTGAATCCTCCCTTAGATAGTTTTCAAATTAATATCACAATCTTATCATATCTATATTTGATCACATTCCAGTTGGCTTTTTATAAAAAGCAAAAAAAAAAAAAAAAAAAGATGGCGATAGTGTCAGATTGTTTGAGTAAACTCCCATTGCTATGAAAGGAGATATTTAATCTTGATTTTGTTTGGTTTATATGGGGTTTTTATCTTGATCATTATTACCTGCATGTCCAAATATCTTGAGTTGATCTTTGCATTGGAGATCATGCATCATATAATTGGGCTTTTAACCTGCCTCCACCCTCTCTCCCAAAAAATAAAAATGTAAATCGTGTTCATCAATAAACTAGTACTAGTAATTTGTTTAAAAAGAAGTTGACTGAGATCAAAAACCCCAGCTGAAGTAATTAAGTTTGTTATGTTTATCTGCGTCGCATCAGCCAGTCAAAAGGTCAAGTTTTATTTTGTATCTCCTGTTTAGAGTGGAGTAGAATAGAGTGCCTTCTCAATTACCTTTTCCCTTATCTTGTATCTATTTGTCAATGTAATGACACTTGAGGAGATGGCAGGTATATTCTCCTCAAATCTGGGACATTGCATATGAAGATGACCAGCAATGATTGAACAGAGGGTTAAATGATTGCTCTGTTAACTTTGTGAATTTCTCTTCACACGAATATGCTGGAGATTTTTTTTGTTTTCACCAAAGTAAAAAGTGTCCCATAAAGCTTTGATCTCTGCTTGGTGAAGCTGGTGTTTTATATATCATATGATGATATTAGTTGAAAACGTATGCAAGAGCAAGAGGTTAAGTGCTACTTAGGTGGGCAACAATTGCACTGTAGTACCTCAGTCAGATGATTGAAGTAGATGAAAACAATGCAGTGCATAGATTTCACACATGAGTTGCTTATAGTGGAAATGAATGGCTGCGAGTGACTCCCATCTATTTGTGTCATGATATAGCGCATGATTATTGCTAAAGCTGAGAATGTAAGTCAAACATTTCAGAAGCCACTACACTCCACCTGCATATATGCTATTATCACACACAGCATTCATATCATTTATTTATTCTCATCCGCTTTACATACATACAAATTAATTTCAAACCTGCAGCTGTATCAAAAGTGACCTGGTTGTTATGAAAATAAAAGAGAATAAAAGAAAATTTGTTTTGTGAATAATTTAGGGAAATCATGTATATATATTGTTTGCTAAATTTTAACTTTGTTTCTTATTCATTTATTGTATGTTTGTTTGTTTGTTTCTTTTGGATCTCTACTTGAAACCATTGACTCAATCATGGGCATTGAAGTTGGAAAAAAAAAGCAAAAGTGGATAGCCTGAATCTGTACAGTTACTACCAGGTACAGTTTGTTGGACATTATCATATGGTGTCCAGGGTAGCTTGGTCAGTTGGCAGTGCTTTTTGGCCTTGGCTGCTGTTGCTGTGAAGGCCAGTATGGTGCCTGTTGAAGCATACTGATATGGAAGAGTAACTGAATAAGAAACTGGCCACGGCCTATTATGAAGATTCAGATCTGCTGTTTCTTTTTTCTTTAACCTATTCATATCTCTGTGTGAGATTACTCATGGAATTCCCTTACTGTGAAACAGAAAGTACATGGATAAAGAAAGGAAATTTTACTGAAGGTGCTTATTTCCCTCAAGTGGTTGGCCTGGTAGCTTGACTTGGGTCACATCTCTATCATCTTAATGGGCTAGGGACGTGAGGGATGAGCACAGCCTTAGGAAGGTTGACTAACTGCTCAGCAATGTCTCCACGCCACTGGGATGGTAAATGTGTGGTGATATAGGGAAATATTCCTTGTTTCATTCTAAATGCATTGCAGTTGGAGATAAACTTATGCTGTGGTGGTTTTTAGAAGGAAATGATAACAGTGCAAGTCTGCTTCTGCACTAGGAATATACCACATTAGTGGAGCATTTTTTCTTTGTTCAGAAACAGTGTATCAATTACCATAGAATAATGAATTTTTAATGGCAATTTCATTTTCATTTGCCAAGATATGACTTTAACATCATAGGCCTTGGAAGTCAGTATTGAGATCACATTTACATGATTTTATATAATGGAGTGGGGGGGGGGGGGGGTGTTGAGACTAGATATAGGATAGATCCCCCTTTTGAACTGTTCACATGTAAATGCACATGCCACAGTGTTGTTATACATGTGCCATGTGTTTTTTGTACATTTTTTCATACTAGTAGGCATCTACCTATTGGTCAGTTGGTGCTTGCCTGGCAATCAGAGCTTGCATTTTTTTCCCTTAGACTTGAAAATTATGTATAATGGAAAAAACTCAGATGGCAACTTAAAATTTATTTACATTTGAAAGTAATTACTTGGAAAATGGAATTGTTTTTTAAAAGCCTGACTTTGAATGTTCAAATCAGTTACTCCACACTGCTTTTTAGCTATTTTTACTGAATGTTTATGACAAATTTCTTTAAAAAGTTATCAGACTTCATTTTACTTATATAACATTGATATTCTTCACCTAAGGAGTGTTAGTTTTGCCATTGCCACTACTGCAACAAAGGCTCTTCTTTTGGTTTGTAATTGCACTACTAGTAATTATAACTTCCAGGTAAATTTTTAAGAGGATTCTAATAGCATTAGGTGGTTGTCAAAGTCTACCACTGTGTCCAAGTCCCCAAACACCTGCCAGTCTTTGTGCTATTGTTCAAAAGAAAGGGATTGGTGCTAGATATGATATTAGCTGAAAGGCAAAAGCTGAAAAGAGTCTCCCCATTATTTATTGCCTTTTGACCCTATCTGGCTCTTCAAGTTACATTGAAATGTGGCTTTGGATTATCATAATGTAAACTTGCCATGGTCACTTCTAATTTTGTACTTTATAGCCATACTTCATGGGACATTTTATATTACCGCCCCCTCCCTTTGGTGTCCCTTTTTTTACCTAGAAGGAAGGTAAGATAATGGGCAATTAACAAAACAGACAACTAAATTTAAATTAAATATAACATGGGTGGTCAAAGTTAGATGCAGAGTAGATAAGAAAGCAGATATTTAGAAAAAAATAAAATAAAATGGAAGCAGTGACATTTTAAGTTAAATGATTTATGTACGTGTCAGCATAAAGCCTCATTGCAAAGATTAGATTTGTAACAACATGCTTAATAGAAGTTTTCTAACCCCCTTTCAAGCAATTTTCTAGGTTTGGATAATCATAAATATTATCCAAGGCACCCAGGCAGATTATGTTAAAGTATTAGTAATGTAATGAGATGTGGGCAGGTGTTGACCTGGGGTCAGACAACCACAATAGACACTGAGATACACATACACAGAGAGCTGTTGTACATCTGAGAAACATGACTCTACTCATACCTTTCTGTTATCGGCCATTGGGAATTTACTAGTTTGATTGTGGTTCAAATGGAAAGGACTAGGGTGTTTAACACGCCTTTTGGTATTTGTTAAGCTCCATTTGAAATGTAGAATATGTGCGCTGATATGTTCTACCCCAGAAGCTGATCTGATATGCATGTACAGTACTACAAGTTTAACCCAGATTAAGAACAATTTTATCTTCTCAGATAAATGTCTTAATCAGCCCTTCCTTTTTGGTGTATCTTCATATGACAATAGGCTGCCAGATGTACTGCAGTGATGTTTAAATATACATACTATATAAATCCAACTATAGAGTTCAGTCACGATAAGAAGATTGTTAGCCAGTTACACACACACACACACACACACACACACACACACACACACACACACAAAAAAAAAAAAATCCTTAAAAGTGCTCATAGAATTTCATCGGCATTTAGTTATGTTGGGGATATAGGAGCTCAGTTTCCTTTTTCTAAGACCCCCTTCTCATAGACACCATCGATCTATGTAGATCAATCCAAACTCATTGAGTGCAATCAGCTAAACTGAATGACAGTTCCTGTGGTTGAGCTGAATACAGAAAAGCTGTGATTTTACAAGTATGTTGGCAATAAGAGGAGGCGTGTCATTCATTAAGCTGATTGCATTCGGTGAGAGTCCCCGCAGAGTTGGATTGATCTATGTAGATCAGTAGTGTCGGTGGGTGGGAACAGAGCCTAAATGTCTTAGTGTGGTAGCACCAAAATTGGGAGCAGGTGGTGTTCTTCTCCAGTGAGCATGGACAAAGACTTGTCTACCTCTGGAGTTGTGTGCACAGATACAGTTATGAACATGTGATGGTTTTGTCACAACTATTACCAGCAGAGAAATATGTTGTCACAGCTGTATGCGGTGTTATGAAAAATGCCCATCTTGTGTGTATGGCCTTTGTTAGCACATGGAAAAAGTAAAATATTTTGGATTACTTTGCTTAGTCTGGCAATCCTTTTGCTGTATTGGCACTAACTGGAGTTGTGAAATCTGAATTTTTTTATAAATCATCTTATGGTTTGGCCTATAGTTTAATAAACTTTTATTTGCAAACATTTCTGCAAACATTACTTACTGTTTCATCATCCACTTAGAACTCTCCAGATTTAAGACAAAAAGCAATATTAAAATGTTGAACTTGTCATTTATAGTGGTATAATGGTATTGATAATCATTAATGCTATCCTTCCCCATGCTCAGCAAAAAATTTTTTTTTCAGTTAAATATATAGTTAAATACTATTTTTTAAGTCATAGTCCTATCTAACTGAACAAGTACATTTGTATTAATTTAATTTTAGATGATAAATTTATGCTCTTTATTTTCCAGGTTTGGTGAGAGCCACAATTCCTACTGCACGGTGGCCTCTTTCAAGGGGGACAGCAAAGAAAACAATGCCAACACAATCAACATAGAGGCCATGGTGGAGAAGACACAGAAGCACATGGCTGGCAGCGGGAGCAAGCAGGGACCCTTCAAGACCTTCCGCACCAACAAAAAGGGCAGCCATTTCCAACACCATCTTCAGAACAACTCCAAGAACAATAGCAACTACCAGTTGAGTAGCTTTAACATTCAACAACAGCCATTCTACAGCCAACATAACACCAAACCCAAGCATCAGCAGCACTATCAGAAGGGGTCAGGGGACCACCAGCAACAAGGTCAAGGTCATTTGAAGCACCAGCATCAGGCTTCCCTTCGTCCCTCCAAACCATTCCACTCCAAGGTCGGCCACTCTTCAGGATTTAATGCGCGGAAACAGGACAAGTTCCATTGGGTTAGAGGAGCAGATTTGGTTAAAGCATAATGGTGTATAAGAATTGAGACATGCCATGCTTTATTATATCTAAATATTGATATTACCTGGAACAATTGGACTGCGTACAATGGACTAGATGTGCAACGGACACAAAGGGGACAGATATTTGCTTCCTGGATTTCACTTCCCCTCTTTTTCTAGATATGACACACTGACTTCCATGTGCTGTACTACTTTTGCCTTTAAATTGTGCCAAGGTTTGACTAGAAGATCTCAAAAGAAGAAACTGTTGAAAAACTCTTCATCCACCAGAACCTAATGAGTTAGGTGCTTGGCCTAAAGAAAATACTCCTTTCCTGGCCAGACATGGTGTTTAGTGACTTCCAAGTTAAATGAACAAGAATAGATAACAATAGCTATTGACTCCAGCATCTTCCTGGAAACTTGGTCTCTGTGAGACTTTACCTCTGTGGCAGGATAACAGAGAGAGAGAGAGGCAGAGAAATGTGCCTATCTGCATTTCTTCAGCAAGATTGTGGAGTTTGATTGTATCAGGGAAATTTTACACTTGATCTCAGTACTTTGCACATAGTTAAGTTTGTTTGTGTGTGTTTTCTGTTAAAATTCAGTCACTGGGCAGCATTGGACAGATGGCACTGGAAAGTGAAATAAACATCATTGTAGTATTATTGGTAACACATTGTATTCTGTCAAGCACTTACTTATGGATCTTAGGGAATTTTTTCTTTTGCATGGAGACAAATGTACTCTGTCAAATCTTACAACTTGCAGTTAATGGCCAATTTAACAACTGTTTATTCATTTCTCACTTGAGAAGGCTGCACACCATGAAGCATAGCAGTAATACTTGTTACATTACCAAATACAAGGATCACAAGTTTAGATTGAACTTGATAATTTTTATAGTATCTTCCACAACATTTTAATTCAACCCAGTCACATTAGTGATAGTTTGTCACATTTGGGTTTGGCTTCAGCAGGTCAGGGAATTTCAGACAGGTGTCATTTCCAATGAAAAAATAACTAAGAAATAATCTCATGACCGAGTTGACTCTCTCTGGATAGGATTACTATTATTATTTTTATTTTGAAATAAGGTTAAATAAGGGCTCTGAAGACTGTGATTTATTGTATGATTTTTTGCCATCTTTTGTGATACTTTGGAATGCCAACATTTAACCGGTGAGATTTGTGTAAAAAGCACTTGGCTTGTTTTGCACCAGTTAGCTTCTGTAACACTTGATGAAGTTGTGGGACAACAGTTTTTTTTTCAGTTTTTGGCAAATGAATGGTCGCTCTTTGTGTTTGTAGCACATCTGGACACCCCGTGTGTGTGGCTTATAGGCAACTTTTTTGTATTGGACAGAAAGTAAGCTGAATACTCGGGGTTATGGGTTTAAGACGAGATTAGGGTTAAGCCAGTTGAATTATGTAATCAGTGTTGTTGCTAATCATTCAGATTCTCAGATTAATTTATTGTCATTTTTACAGTAATTGAGAATTTAATTTTTCTCTAGCACAAGCTTTCAGCATTTTAATGTGTATTGAATCTGACAACATTTTCTCAGTTTTTCACAAAGAACTTGTTTCATATTGTTTGTATAATGTATTTTTTTGCTCTAAAATTGTGAATAGTGTACAAAATCTTTTGGACCATGTAGCTGTAGTGTACATTTGCACAATGCCATGTATTGTTTTGTACAGAAGGGAGGTTGCAGTTGTAACATAGTACATTTATTATTGATACAGAAAATATGTTAGTATTTACCTGTGTCCCATTTTCCAATGAGTTAAAGGAATGTATACCATATTAAAATGGGTTCATCAGATGTAAAACCTGCAGTTTCATTCACACAGCCTTACTTCAATTTCAAGAAAATAAATTTTGTTATACCATAGAAAGTACCATCATGTCAGCTATTGCCATATTGTAAAGCTACCAGCATTGGACGTGTATTTCAAATGCCTTATGTTGTTTTGAAGGCAAAAACGTCCATATCATATGTAAGTGCCTCGCCTATTTTTGATGGGAAAATACGGCCATGTGGTGAATCACTTCATTCAAGATCATTGCAGTTCACTGTACATAGACAGCAACTTTCCCTTAAGAGGATTGTACATATCAATACAAGGTACTCCTACTTTGATTTTGTTCCTAAAGATAAACTATATGTGAAAATGACATAATTTTGTAAGGAGTTGATTGTACTCTAGTGTATCACATGGTTTCAGCAATTTGCAGTATATCATATGTGTATAATTTAACTCTACAGATGGATAGGAAACGGGCAACTTTAGGTCACTTATTGCACTGGGTATCTATATTATAAGCTATCAAAAGAAACTAGATGCTAGACAACACTTCACTGGGGTAGGGGACATTAAATTTGCTAATATTGAAACAACATTGTTTCTTTGTTGGTCAGGTCATTGTAGTAGAAATAGATGATGTACGTCTAGATGTGTAGTGATAAGTTTGTGGTCATCTTGATGGACACTTGCTGATAGTGAACATCGTTCACCCTGTCCTCTGTTATCTGATTTCATGTGCATTATCACTGGCTCATTAATGATGCTTATATGTAGAATATATGGAGAGACATCCATTTTACAATTTTATCAGATTTTTATTTATGGATTTGCCAATAGAAGGTTATTAAATTGACTGGACATTATTTTCGTTATGATATGGAAAACATGTTTGAAACTGAGAAAATTGAGAGGAATTTTTTTTTTTGTTTAATTTGTAGAATAAGAGAGAAACGATTTTTAAATGCATGATATGCAGACTGCTAGAAATGTGAAACATATTGAGCACTGCAGGGCTGATTATGGTGACTTAGATAAATAATTGTTTCAATTTTAACTAACCATAAAATTAACAGTGTACATTTACAATACCATGGTTTCACACAAACTAAAGTTTGTTATTCAGAGCAGGTGGTTTCATGCATTCCTGCATTTAGATCTTGTGATCTCCTTGGGTGTTATTCCATTAACATGAGACAGAATGGTTTGAAGTTTCTTATTAATATTTAGAGATACTATAATTTTCATGCACAAAATATATGTATAACTGGATTTATGTTTATAGTAAGATATGGTTATGTAATTGCTTTGGTTGTTGTATCCACTGTGAATTTGCCAAACCATGAAAGGGGACATGTAACACATTAGCTCACGCTTTCTTGGTAGAAGTTTAAGTAGGCTTTGACTACCTTAGCTCTTGAGTGGACCATTACCATTTCATAGGTAATTTTGAAGGCACAGGCTTGTGTTTTAGATATATAACATTTGCTCTGGCACTGGTAATTATATAATATAAAGGATTTGGGCTGATTATGGAACATGAGCTTTTCATTTAGTAATTTTAAACAATTGTATTGTGGTGCTCCAGCTGAACAGGTTTATTAAGTCAGGTTTGTGTGGTTTGGAATGGGGCTTGTCTTTATTGAGGAATCAAGTGCTGCCATCTGTTTATGTGACAGTAGGTATAAAGAGAGGGTTTTCTCTTTTGGTAAAGTTTTATGACTACTCAAGGGGTGGATAGGATGTGACCATTTGTAGATACAAACAAATGATGATTGAAATGAGGACAAATTTATATAAAAAGACTTTCAGGACTATATGATTGAAATAATTATACTGTGGTGTTCATAGAGAATTTCTCATTGCAACAATTTCAGTCTAAGAATGACTGCACCTCCAATTGGAATACACTCGCTGCCATTAGATTTTGCACTCTGGGCAAGAGCATTTTTATATTGTGCTTAATGGCCTTAATTTAAAACTGAAGGCTAGGTAGAAAAAGTATGACTAAGGAACATGTAGACAACACATATGTCAACACAATGCTTTGTAACATAAATTTGTACAGCAATTGGTAGTTTTGTACTTTTGTAATTGCCAAAGACCAAATGGAATCTCTTGACTGTAACTATTTATGATATGCAGTTATTTAATGAAATGTGTAGCTTAAACAGTTATCAATGGAGCTGGGGGTTTTATTAGCAGCTTCAGTAGAAATTTGGTTTATCTGTATGAAAGACATTTGGTAAATGTCATTATCTTGAAATCCAGTTTTGCATCAGCTCCTGTATTTTTCACTGCCCAAGAGGAGTGTTATGTAGTAAGATATAACTAACTGAAAACTGTGGCAATGTAGGTTCAAGGATAACAACTTGTGTACCTCTAAGCTAGGGACGCTCCATAAATAGTACATTTGCCCAGTTCTTGGCTTATTGTCAATGATGGGCTGAATGCTGTTGCTCTAGGACATGTTACACCAGGGTTTTCCTCTTTTATAATGCGGTTCCAACTGCCAATTTGCAAGTCTATATTGTTAAGAATGGGGGGCCAAGAGGTGAAGTTTTGTTTGTATAAATAATCACAATTTTTGCCATATTATTAGAAGGGGTGTTTTAGGGCAAGTTTCTATTCACTTGTTTTTTTTAACCTGCAAAGTTGCAGTTTCATGTTCTTTCGCATGAGATTTGAATTGAATGCAAACAATTAGTTTTTGTTGAGATAATTTAAAAATTTGCGGTAATTTGTCTGATGTTATGCTGAATAGCTTTTAAGTAACTAGCTTTTTGTGTTGGCAAGGTACATATCTATATTGTAGTATATGGTTTAGAATAACAGTGTGGGAATTTAACTGGTTTAATATTTTCACGTCTGTTGTAGTTGGCCAGACTGCCATTGAATGATGCCTCGTCCAACATAAAGCTACTTGGTGTCTGGTTGATTAATCATAAATGAATTTTTAAGCATTCATGTGAGCTAGTGTTGTCACTGCTTTGTTACATGTGTTCATGAATGAATAAAGATGTCTTAATTCTATTGCAACATAAAGAAAACTCTTGTCTTTTACTTCCGGATATTTGAGATTGTGACAAATGTGAAAAGGGTTTTTAGAAACTTCAAGATAATTTTGAACTTCGCGTGGAGTAGAAAATTTACGTTACGTTGCTTTTCACTTCGGCATCTTTATGATTGTGCTATTTTGCCAAAATTCAACAGCGCTCATCAGATCTCATCTGTCACAATGTTGGTCTAATTTGTCTGATGCAATGTCAGTGTTTTTTTTTAATGCCCTGAAGTTGTTTGTTTCATAATAATCTGTAGATTGAATTTTTGTGCAAATAACATAACTTATAAAATCACGTATTGTTACCGTTTTCTGTTAAAATGTATTTAAATTACTTAATTAAAAAACAGCTGAATTCTAAATTGCCTTATTAAAGCGCTGACTTTAATTTCAAATGGGAAATATCGATCGTTAAACAGAAAACGTTGGCGTTAAAGAAACTGGTGAAACAAATGCAATAATCCTCGCGATACCGCAATTTATTCCAAAATGTTTTGGTTGTGAAGATTAAAGTCACGCTCCCCGTCTCGCCTTGAAATGAGTTGGCAAGTAAGTGCTAACGCGTGTCATAACTTTTTTTATCTTGCCCAAGGGATTTCATTGTTAAATAGAATTGTAGAGGGAGTTATTTGTTTAATATTTTGGACGTGCTTATAAATGTGTCTTCCTCAAGTTTTCACGGGCGAGTTTTCTATATTACTCACAAGAGATACTAAATAATTTACAAATAATCAACATTGCACGCGTGGTTGTATGCAGACGATCAAACATGGAGGAAGACGAGTGGTCTCTCACGCTGCAGCGTATTATTTTTTCCTTACTGCTGTTTATAAGGGTTTCAGTAGCACAGGTAATTATGACTACTTTGTAATCGACTGATTTTGACATCACTTGTGTGTTTTCTCTGCCGAATTGGCGTTTTGTGAGACCCTTGAAAATTAACTTTGCCGACTAGCGTCTTCTTGATTAGCTGCGATGCAGTCATGCATGCAGGGTTTATGGCTATTAGCAAGTTGATGGTAGCTTTTAGTTTACAAAATAAGCTATCAGAATTGCATATGTATTTTACTGTTTGTAAAGTAAGTTGTATTTACGTTATTTATTATTATTTTTACTTTAGTGAGTCCTCATTTTGAAAACAACCCCCACCCCCAGTAAATTCAGTTCAGTAGTGAGGGCTGCAAACAGTGGTTTGTTAAATAATAAATACCAGCAATCATTGAATGTTATAGTTACATGAATATACAGACACACTGTTGCTGGCATATTTACTGTGAACAAAACGTTCTCACTGAAAGCAAAATAAATCCTTAATAATACCACAAATTGATATGTGTATATATATATGTGGGGTTTTTTTTTAGCTAGGATATGTTTGGGATGGAGAGATGTATGTATGTGGCAAACATTTGCAGCTTTAGAAATACTTTGTCAACCAAAATGGTCTCTTTTATGCTATGTGGAATGCTTGGTACTGAATATTAATGAGTTCTCCAATGACTTGCAAATAGTCTGCAGTCTTTATTGCGAGTTTAAGATGATTTGCTTATAGAGTAATATTAATATTAGAAGGCCAAGCATTAACGTAATTTAAAAAGTAATTATTATTTTTCAGGACATTTCCTCCACAGATGTACCTGTACAGCAGATCAGAGCAGTAAACACTTACAGCATAGACTTCCAAGACTTACCTCCTTTGATTCCAATGAATAACTTACCAAACACCAATGTAACGGTTACATATGGCTGCAAAGAGCCAAGTGTGGCTGGAGTTGAACTCAGTGCAATTATTACAAATACAGGACAAAAGCTGATGTTATTCGACAAAACATGGCTGTGTTTACCACTGGAACATATTGTCCAGTCCCTTAAAATCAACTTAAAAGTAAATGAAAAATCTTTGAAAGAACTAAAAATGCTACTGTCTAGCCAGCAGAGGACTACTTCAAATTCTGGTGCTGCACAGTCCAGCAACACTTTTGGATTGACTTCTCTCACAGTGCCAGCTGTTGTTAGAGCATGGATAATTTCACGGGAATTATACAGTCTTAGTGAAAACCATCAAGGAGCTTGGAATATGGCCTCAACTAGAACTTCATACCAAATAAAAATATCACTTCCAATGTCCATGCTGACTGAAGAAAATGAGCAGACTAAGAATGTCTCAAGAAAATTGTGCCATAGTTGGAAGAAAGTACTTCAGGATGAAATCTCAAAATCTCAGCCATTATGTGTTCAAGAAGAAGACGGTATGTGATTGGAAAAAAGAAAAGAGTGTTTTTCCCCAGAATTCTCTTAAATAACATTTGATAAAAAAAAAAAAATTAGCACCTGATACAAACAGTGCTGTTTTAATACACTTGCACATTAAGTGACAGTTTTTATGGCACTGGAAGTCAAACCGTGCTTCAGCAAATATGCAGGATTAATTGCCTGAATTAAATACTGTATCAGAATATTTTATATGGTATTTTAGAAAGTTTTCATAACATTTCATTTTGTTTTATTGTAGAAATCCTGATTTAATTGATCAAAATTTGAATATGTGCTATGATATTCAATAACTTTATAATTGAAAATGATCCTGATTTTCTTAAATGGTTTGCACAAAGGTAGTAATATATTTCTGTGTTTCAGATGTGATCCAAATTTTAACCTATCCAGTACTGATGAGAGCATCTGCTCATGGGGTTTCCAGGACCTTCACACCTTTCAAAAATAAAGAGCTTAGACAAGAACAACTCTCATCTCCCAGGCAAGTGTTTTTATTTATTTATTTATTTATTTATTTATTTATTTATTTATTTATTTATTTATTTTTTTTTTTTTTAATTAGTTGCCTTTTTTGGCTAGGATTGTAAAATGGATAAATGTCAAAATTGCTGATAATTATAATTATACTGAAGGGTGGGGGTGGGATACTTGTTTACTTAGGGAACAAAATAAATTTTATTCATTACACATTCATACTTTTATATCCAACATAAAGAAAAAACTTGAAAGAAAAAACTTTTATCGAAGTCAATAACTAGTAAAAAATGTAGTAGGTAATTGTTCACATAAATTATTAATGGCACAGCCAGAGGAACAAGAAGATTTTAAGGCTTCTAATGTTAACCTATACCAGGACTAGCAAAGTGTTCTGCTAAATGCTAACAAAGGGTTTCTTTGGCGGATCCCGAAATGAGAAATATTCAGTTTTTTGCTCCTTGTCATCATTAAATTTAGGAAAATGTCATTAGGTTAAAGCTGAGTGGTGTTTGCTCTCTCAAAATGCAATGGGCTTTTTATTTTTATTTTACAGCTGTTAAAACTTAAAACTTGTTGATTTTTTTAGGTTTACTGCAGTCATTTACCTGTATGTGATGCAGTACAATTGCAGTACCTCAAAGTTTGGCAGCCTTGTACAACAAAGGACGTGGGATGGGCAGTTTCTTACTCCTATCATTTTGATCCAGGAAGAGGGTAAGTATGCGGTAGATATTAATGTCACTGATCATTTTCTTTAACAGGAAAATGGTCCATTTATTTTTATCTTACTAGTAAACTTAAAGGAAAAATTCAGTTTAGTTCATGATATTGTCATTTTTGTTAATTTTTCAGACATAAACTATAAGTTTATCTGAACTCACTTTAGATATTACTCTGTAAATGATGACAGGTCAGATGATGGAAATTGCCAGAATTTTAGACTGATAACATTTATGGATGTCAAGCAGTAATTGACCTAAGTTAACTTACAATGTCATTATTGTTCATAATGTGTCAAATGGGGGTGTTTAAAGTAAATACATTTCAAATTGTTTGGCAGGTTGTTGAGGGTAAACTTTGTCATAAATTTCAGGAAAGATCCATGTTCAAGTTCACAAGAAAAATAATCAGTCTGTTGCCTTGGTTACCCCACTCACGATACCAAAGAACAAGTGGTGCCGCCTGGTGTTGGTTTTTGACCAGTACTATGTGAGTAATGAATTTGTATTGAAATGGAAATTCATTGGAAGCATTTGTAGCAGTTATGATATACTTTTAAAATAATGCTGACAGTTGTTCATTGAACAAAGCCACCTCTCAAGAAAACCATTTATCTTTTCTGTATTGAATTTGAAATTTAAAAAAAAAATTGGAAGACCTTTGTTAAAATGTAAATTGATTGTGATGTGATTATTAGTTGTGATTTTGTTTATTGTCACAGGCAGTAATGTGAAAGTTCTGTGATATGAACAACATGTCTTCAATGTTACTTCTGTGTTTGGTATTGGTTGTAGCATTTATATCTAGATATTATGTGCAGAATGAAAATTAAACACATTCTGAATTTTTCATGAGAATATATATATATATCCATTTACTGAAGCATTTTATGGTGGTAATTAGTATATATCAAGTGACTTTTGATAACATTTATTTCTCTGCTTTTCAGTGGAATCTGACAGCCACCTGTAGGAGTAAGATAGGGACCTGGGAGAAAGTTTTCTTTACTGAATACACGTGAGTTAATGATTCAGTTCGGTTTGCCAGTTAATTAATGAAATCATCTATGCACCATTGAGAACCACATTTTAAAAAAAATTTATTGTTAAATGCTCTTAAAGTGTAATGCTAGATTGCTTAACATAACACTGTGCTGATATAAATGATAAGGTTGTTGAGTTTCAAGATCTTCAAAGGTATTCCATATCTTTTTATCATTATGGTGAGTCTGGGCAAGGTTTGAAAAACATTCAAAACATTCATTGAATTTAGTAATCCAAAACAGTGAAAATGGTGGGTGATTTAGATATCAAGATGCTGGTAAACTCCTCTCTACCAGAGGCCAGACAGGTGATGACTTCAGTTCTGTGTAAAACTTTTTGCTGGACAGTCCAGAAATGTGTGCAAAAACAGAAATTATCTGTGAATTGTCTAGCAAAAAAGAACTCTTTTTGGTCCTGGTAGAGGTTACTAATCTTGGAGTTATCTATAAAGGTACAAATCGCAGGTTTTGTTTTTAAAGTGACTTCCAGGGATTTAACCAATATGTTAATTAGCTATGGGCATATTTTGGTTTTGTACAGTATCTGTAGATGTAAATGTTTGGCAGTAACAAAGGCTAAATGTTATGTGATAGTTGTTGTTTATTTTAGCACAAAGGAGATGCTAAAAAAATAATTGAGAATCATATAAGTTAATTTTTGATTTAATAAGAAAATTAATTGGCTTAAAGAAAGGTATTTAAGTATTATAAGAGAAAGGTATTTAAGTATTATAAGAGAAAGACAATAAGTCACAAGTGCCATTTTTTCAGTAAGGTAAATACATTGTACCTTACACTTTGAGTTCATCACTGATGGTAAAAGCATTGGTTTAATCTATAAGAGCCCCCCAGAAACAATGACTGTTGACTCCTCCTTCTTCATTTGAAAGAAAAAACTCCTCTGCTGCATGAAGGAACTCTTCTTTACTGATCACATTATCATTGTTTGTATCCATGGCAGCAAATGCAGCATCAGCATGGGTTGTGTCAATACCATGACCTGACAAAAACGTCCTGTACTCCTCCACAGAAATCTCACCATTTTTATTCAGATCAATAGCTTCATATATGTAAGGCATGGCCAGTGTTACTATTTCTCTCCTATCGCCCTTCACAAATTCTGCCATGTTGGATATGAATTCCTCCTCCATTACTTGGTCGCACGTGGTTCCATGGCACCAGCAGTGCTGCCACGTGTGTGCGAGAGCACGTCGCAGGTGTTGTGCTTTGACGGGACTGAGCTGTCCTGTCTTTTCAAAGTAATCCGCTATTTTGATGTACTCTTCAAAAGTGATGTATCCGTGACTGTGTTTGTCTGCTCTTCGATAAAAGGTTTTCATCTTTTTGTACCAGAATTGTGAGGGCTCCTCTGAAGAGGTGGACATATTTTCTGTGTTATAAAGAAAAGTGGGGAGATACTGTAGCGTCAGATTTGAGAGTCGTCTCAGGTACTCCATTTTCTCTCAGCCCCACCTATAATTCAGAAAATACAGTTATCACATTCCCAAGCCCTACCTGTGCTTGTTCAGCTTATGTAGAGATGTTAAAACTATTTTCCCTTAATCAAATTTTTCAACAATTGATGAAAATTAAAATATACCATTGTGAGCCCAGAGTGATTGTTCCCATAATTTTATAAATAACATTTAATAGTTTCTTTAATTTTAATTGAATCAGATTTAATTCTTTGTGTGGCAAAAGAGCTATAAGGACTTACAGTTTTCATTTCTGAAGAACTTAAAAATTGCACTCACCTTTGTTCAATACTTTGAGAATATTATGATGTTCAAATATACAGGGATGAGATTATCTTGAGAATTGGCAGATTTCCAACTTTAGGAGCCAAAAATATCATTGGCCAAGGTGACCCCCCTGGAGCCCAAACCATATTTTTTCACTAAATGGCAGTCTCATATCCCTGAATATAAACCATAAACACGGCACATGAGTATGATAAGGCAGCCTTCTGTAGATAACATCTATACTTACTGGATTCTCCTCTAGTAGGTAGGTATATATACCCTGGAACATCATAAAAACTTCACTGCCCTCTCACAGCCAAGTTAAATGTGAAGTGCTTTTACAACTTAAAAAATCAGCCTTGAAAACAGATGCGACTGATTACCCTGTTCCACCCAGTTATCTCAAGTTTCAGCTGCTATATTTGTAACACTCTCTTGTAGTGTTTTCTTCTATTTCCATGACCCAGATACCCACCAGCTATTTATTTATGTCCATTGTGATCATCCTGAGTTGACTTCAGGCCCTAAGTGAGGTGTTCCTTGTACATTAACTCATACACCGCTGATACATGTACTGTGCCTTGGCTTATAGTCATGTCTTAGAAAGTTCAGACTTTCACATTATCAGAGAAATGTGCTTTCAAAAGCAAAGCCTTATTACTTTTAAAATCTTTTGAAATTTTGAGTCAAAAATTTTATTATCACTAACAAAGCATTAATTGCTACTTGTGGAATAATATTAACTAAATTTGTTCAAATTTAAGAAACAATTACCGTTTGCCCACTTTGACAGTCCCAGCTGTGTTTACTTCAAGCTCTATATGTGGGGTTTGCATTGTGAGATGACTAAATGTATATTATACTGTAGATGTATACATAGACAGTGGCTGAACATGCAATATGGCATGCATGGTTGAAGTTCCATCAAAACAACCTTAGTACATACTGCAGTATTATAAAGTGTGTATACATCAGAACACAATTATAATAATGGGCATGTTTATTTTCTTTGCCCAGTGAATTATATGTATTATGTGGTATATATGTAATTTTATTGATATACATGTAATACATGTATAGTAGAATTGTGAGATGTGGTACTTTAAAAGGAGTGCTGATTGAACATAATTTTGTTGTTCTCAATCTGTATCAACATCCACTTGATATCAAATTTAATGAAGATGGAGATTTTTTTTTTGAAACGTTCTCTACATTTTAGTGCTCTCAGTGAACTACTATGTTTCTTTTTAAAGACTATATACATATTTTATATAGATTATTATTAGTTTTAAATCTAGGCATTAAATGAACTTATTAACTTAATGATACTTGTCGGTGAAAGAGGGATTATACATTGATAAATAACATTTCTAAAAGTTGTAGCAAATATTACAATTTTGCACCTTATAATATGTAGCCAGTTAACATGGCATGTCAAGCATGGAAACTCCATTAAGTTGACTCTCATTGGTAATAACCAGACTATTTAGTTGTTGATCTCATAGGCTTCATTCACATGCAATGTCTATTTTCTAAATTCTGTTATCTATTCGCGGTATGTCTTATGATCACGGTCTGTGCCCTGAATATCCCGCGGCGTAATTACTGGCAGCGCGAGCCAGTTACTATAAGTTACTTTAAGTAACTGACTCGCGCTGCCAGTAATTACGCTGCGGGATATTCAGGGCACAGACCATGATCATAAGATACCGCGAATAGAAAATAGATTTTTAGAAAATAGACTTTCCATGTGAACAAAGCCTAAATGTACCACTCACTGTGAAAAGGGTCTTGATTTTAGACAATCAGCAGATTCTGTGCTTCAAAAATAAAGCTGTTATATTTAATGACATATGTACCTGTATGTCCTTGCAATCTTTGAATGATGGTGTTTTTAAGTGTTTATATTTTTAATATATATACTTTCAGGTATACCCCAGAGCAGAAATTCAGATACAGTGACACAGCTGGCACCTTTGACTTTGGAGGAACAGACGCCATTCCCAGCTTCAAAGGAATTCTTGGTCATGTGACCTGGTACAGGAGGACAGCAGTGCCATCTAGTAAGGTGAGTGGAATACCACCTGATAACAGAGAGCAAATTATTTTATTTATTTCAAGATACCTGATGAATTGTGTATCATGACTTATTGCATTGAATATCTTTAGAAAATTTGTCTGTTGAAAACTAATTGTTTCTTGAAAAGGATGAATTTTCACCATTTTTTCAAAAGTAAGTTTAAATATTTTTATGAAACTGAAAGAGTCAGTAAGTGAAAATGGCATTCATATTTAGATGCTTACTTGTCAAATTTCTTTTAAAAATTAGACACTTTCCCTTTTTTGTATGCATTACATACAAACTGTAGGATCTTGTTCAACATTATCACAATAGCCTAGTTTGCCATTTTTTCTTCATAAAATATAACAGTGTTAACTGTGTTAACTTTATTGGCAATTGGCATTTTTCTTTTTTTTAAATTCGATTCTACAAGTTCTATTTAGATTGTACTCTGATCTTTCCTCTCAGATTCCCTATCTCCCAGACACTGACCCTGCCTTCCAGCTAGGATGGGAGATAGACCACCATAAAGCCAGATGTGAAGGTCACAACAGCAGATACTTCCTCTTGCTCCTGGCCTATATGACCAAACTGAAGCACATTGACAAGAAAAGTACATATATTTCATTGATTAAGGATTTGATTAGTTATCAGATTTATTGATTGAATTTTGATACATGATAGTGTATGGCATTTTCTTTGGCCCTTTACTTAATGAGAAAGGTGCATGTAGGTGACAGGGGCCAATTTAGGACTTACATTACTTAGTTTGTCATGTTAGATGTGGTATTTTGTAAGGATTCTTAGGAAATGTTACGTATAGACCAATAGAGAGAGAGACGTAAACCAAATCAGAAAGACTGATTAATAATTGACAGACAGATGGACTGATTGCTGTGATAACTTCAGATATTTGACAAGGTGAGAGAGCTACTCTCTTCATAAATTCCTTATAACAATTCCAGGAAGTTGCCCTGCAGTGCCCCTGGTCACCAAACCCTACACCTCTCCTACCTGCAGTCAGTACAGCCAACCTGGTCTCCTCTCCAACCATGAGAGGGCGCTACTAACCAGTATGATCCTGACAGGTCGCAAATCGAGACAATATGTTGGTCTTGTCTTGTATGAGGAGGCACTCAGTATACTGGTACAGTAGATAAAAAGATTTTTAAAGAATATTTTTAATAAAATTTTCCTTCAGTATCAGCTCCTGTTGATATTATTAGTAAAATATTATTGTTGTGTTGTACCTAGAGGGATATTTTAATTTTAATTTCTTTAAATCTTATTTTTTCCACATTTACATTCTAGTACATGTCAGCTTATTAGCAGTTAGAGTTAGTAAATATTATGAACAGTATCAGACATATTGACACTTGCCAGTCCTACTATTGTAGTCTGATAAATTTTCAAGGAGCATAAAAAAAGTTGTGGTCAGTCTGTCCAAAGAACAGGCAACAAGAGCCCCAGTTTTGGATAAACTTCCAGTCCAACAAAAGACCATTAGTCTGGCAAAATTTCAAACTGCTGTTGCTGTTGTTATTTTACACCATCTGTGTGTTTAAAAGAAAATTGAGCATGATTCAAGTATACAGAAACCAGTTTATTTTAATGTGTGTAGCCTTTTATTATTTAATATTCTTTAATAATAACTCTTTCTTCCTTGCACAGGAGTTGAGTTTCTCCAATGCCCCACATGCAGTGACCCTCCTGGAGCAAGCCAGTTGCTATGGAAACCATGCTGCCAGCTTTACCTTATCTGCCATCTACACATATGGAGTTGGAGTTAATGCTAGCAAATATGAGGCAAGTGTTTTAGCTTACATGTCACATGCCTAATTACAAGTGAGTTATCATGTTATCTGAAAGCACAAACGGAATATCCTTGTTAGTGGGGGGATGGGGATGGGAGAGAACAGGGGCTTTATATATGAGGCAAAATGGAAGCCAAGGATTTAAGAACTGCTTAGAGAACTGGCAGTGAATTTGAAAGTAATATATCAAAAGGTATCATATTCAATTGATAAAAATCAACAGTAAACTATATGCTCTTGAAGGGAGAGGCTGTGCTGGATTTTTTCAGTCAATAAGATTTTAATACCTTTGGTCAATTAGTTAATAGCATTGAATCTTATAGGACAGTATTAAAAAAAAACTTTTCTCATGATACATGAAGCATTCTGAATTTAATTGCAGGCTCTGTATCATCTTGGGCAAGGTGTGTTAGCTGGCCACCGTCTTTGTCTCTTAGCAATGGGAAATAAGCACATGAATGGTCTAACCCATGTACCATATGACCTAGAGTTAGCCTACAGTAAGTATACACTACATGAATGGTCTAACCTATGTACCATATGACCTAGAGTTAGCCTACAGTAAGTATACAATACATGAATGGTCTAACCCATATACCATATGACTTAGAGTAAGCCTACAGTAAGTATACATTACATGAATGGTCTAACCCACATACCATACGACGTGTTGCTAGCCTACAAAGTATACTACAATATTATATACAATAAGAGTCATATCAGATACCTTCAAGTAGTTCTGTCAATTTCATTACTCAGTTGTTATTAGTGCCCCCATATAAGGATTGGATAAGTTGCAATGAATTCAGGTGTATGTGTGATATGATATGATATGAATATTAATGTACATAATTGTCATTTACAGCATATTACAAGCATATATCTGATATCACCAAAGATGACAAGGAATCCTATTCACATGAGGATGTAAGTAAAATTTTTTAAACACCGAGTTGAACAATGACTTTGAAATAAGGCGATGTCAGTTGCAAAGACAAATTGGCCATAGTATAATTATATAATATACACGTGAAACATACATTTATTCATATGCACACATAACTTATCAGGCTAACTGGAGACCTGTACATAATATGCCATGAAATATATTTATTTTCTAGGTGTACACGGAACCCATTCGGCTGAATGATGATTTTGAAGTGAGCGAGACAACAGAGGAGGACGGGGACATTTTTCTCTGGCTCAAATATCAAGCTTCTCAAGGCGATCTCTGGGCTATGGTAAGTATGAAATTTCTGGCATCGCTAATCATCATTTGTGCTTTATATATTCTGGAGCCGTTTGCTAAGTTTTAACCTTTGAATTAAAAGTTTTAAAAAGTAACTTGAGCCCAATGTATGAATTACAAGTTAATGCATAGGTTTGCTGTACTGTGTGTTTATTCATGCCAGAAACATTACAGATTATACCTCACCATTTTCTATGGTAGATGGAGTTGAGACATTCTCAATTAGATTAAATTGTACATGCTAACTTATACATATTCTGCTGTTTTACATACAAATTAACAGCAGGAAGATATCATGTTACACTTCAGCTTCAATCACACTGTCTCTTTTTCGCTCCTTACTTCCAGCGCCGCTTGGGTCTGCTGCGGTACTGGGGTTCTCACGGTGTGACCAGAAACTTGACGGAAGCAGTCATGTACTACCGCATGGCAGCGAAGGCTGGAGACCCCATTGCCCTTTTTGATTATGGGCTTCTGCAGTTAAAGGTGTGTATGGTAATTACATAGAAATTTCAAACACCTCACATATTCTAATTTCTCACAGAAGATTTTTCATTTATAGTTATACCTCTGAAATGTTCTTTCCTACACAGAGCCAACTTACTTTTCAAAATATTTAAGTCAAAATAATTAAGTATTACTAAACATAAGAAATGAAACATTGCTTTGTGGGTATTTATTTATTTATCTCAAATTTACTGAGTAATTATTGTATCAATGTATGACTGGTGTACTGTATTAAATAGGTGGTTCGGGTGTATTCAGATCTTATTAGATATTGTTTAAGGATTATATTATGATAATGAAGTATAGATTTGACTATGTGCACACACATGTGCAAGTTCACATAAAAGCAGGCAAAGAAGACATGCCCACATGCACACACATACAACACAACACACACACAGTGTGCATGTTATGTGTTCAGATCCATTGACAAAGTTTCCTTATTTATTTACAGTCTTTATAAAGCCGAGTGTATTCCAGATGAAGGTATTATGCTAAAAGTGTTGTAATCATGGTATCACTTTTTCAGGGCCTTGGAATTAAGAAGAATATTTCACAAGCCCTTCAAAATCTCAACAAATCTGCTGAAATGGTGAGCACATCCTAAATCTATTTTTCAGGGTGGCTGAGTAGGTTTTATATATTTTATTGATTGATTTATCTTGCCTATCTTTCTTAGTCTCTGTCATGTGGAATATTTACGTGATATGCTCCTTGATACTGGGTTATATTTATTACATTCTACATGATTTTAAAATATGAATAGAGTTTTTATGAATAAATAATGACTTTTTAAATGGGGGATCAAGTAACATTTTAGTTTTCACATCATTTGTTTTAATTTATTTCCCTGTTTTAATCAATTTTACTAGCCTTTCTTTTTATTATTTTTTGCATGTTTTATTGGAAAGTCTATTGAACAAATTTGGATTTTAGACTCAAATATTATTATTATTATTATCTATTCTTAAGAACCATGGAGATGCGTGGAATGCTCTGGGCTGGTATTACCTGAACTTTGAGGACAACCTAAATGAGTCAGCCAGGTGCTTTGAGAAGGCGTATAGCTTGGGCTCAGTGAGTGCAGGTCACAACCTGGGCTACCTCCACCACACAGGACAGTTCCCAGGGAAAGGGGCAGATAAGGTATGAATAATAGATGCTGTTTATTTATTTATTTATTTATTTATTTATTTATTTATTTATTTATTTATTTATTTATTTATTTATTTATTTATTTGTAAGTTTGTTTGTTAATTAATTTATTTGCATTTATTTATTTATGTGTGTGCTTTTTTAAGTGTTTATTTATTAAAAGGTTAGACTATTGTTGTAATCATAATATTCATGAATGACATTGTTCATGTTATAGTTTTGATTACTTTTTGAATTAAGTTGAATGCTAAATTGATCTAAATTGAATCTCTCCATATGCGGAATTATTGATAAAAGGTAATATTAGCATAATTAAACCATATATGATTGTTGAAGTAGTAGTCCACATTTACAGTTCTTTTTAAAGGTATAGAAAACATTAAAGGTCATTTTATGTGATCATGGTATGTTCACATATTATTATTATAATCGATAAGCACTGGGAGGCAATTGGAATTGGATCAATATTATAAAAATGGTAATATATGGAAAACTTTTATGTGAATTTACATTTTGGTAAATAGATTTACATCTTTTTTGGTTTCAGGAGTTATGTATTTAATTAAAGGTACACATATTATGTAGCTGTTAATGGTTGAAACGGGTCTAGGTGATGGGAGAGTTGATTTTGGTGAAAGTTCGGTGTATTGCATGGGCTTCTTTCAACTTTTTTAAAGTGTGGTTATTAGTATTGGGGAAATGTGTTTGGAGTTGATTTCAGAAAATTATGGCACAATTTTTTGGATAAGGTTTTAGTAATTCTATGGGTATCCTAGGAATATTAGAAGGTCATATTAACTTGTGTCCCAGAATGACAAGCTGAAGTTTGTAAATTATGGTTTATAATTAATTTTTAATGAATATCTAACTTGTATTAAGTATATTGGACAATTTGGGAAATCCATGTCCAATAATAAGTAATTATAGTAATATCACAAATTGTTCAACAATATGCATGAGAGTATTCAGTTCCAATGCTATTTATTGATCTGTCACTACTTACAATTGTGAGAGAGGTAAAACTAATGAAATATCTGATTGTATCTCTTTAAAGATGATCTTAATTCAAATCATGTTGTGATTGAATATATGTTTGATCATCATTTAATTGTACCACCAGCGTTAGCGCTGGCGGTACACATGGTTTCGGTCTCGTCCGGATCGTTCCGCCGGCTCCGCCGGCTCCGCCGGACGGCTACCGTTACCGCTTCTCCTCCTAGACGGTAAGGCCCCCCATACCCATCTCATGGATTTAGGTCACCTATAATCTCAACTCGTTCCACGTAAAATTTGGGCTTTGTCGGTATTGGGGTCTGGGTGTGGCACTCATTGCAATGCACCCTTGTCCAAAAATGGCAAAATTAAATGCTAATTATCTACCCTACGGAAGGAGTTACGGGAAAAATTTCTACAGACGGCTTTCCAAAAGTCATATGTGTAGATTTCAAATATACCCTCGGATTTGACCTTTGACCTTTACTTCAAGGTCAAATGGGCCAAAATTTTCAAAAAAATGAAATTTTTTACGAAAAAAA